CCTCTTTCCCATGCTTTATTTTGCCTTCACATGCCCTCACCTTCACCAGTGAGCAGAGGCAGGCTAAATATTTGGACTTCTGTGTTCAAATTTGTTTCTTTGTGTCAGAAAACTCCACCAATCACTTGGGAAGAACTTGAAAGCACTGAGAAGAAAATGGCTCTGAGCAGAAATAGTTCAGATTTACCCTGATGAGAGGTCCTTAACATGGTTCCCTAACTACCCTTGCTTTCCATCTGTTTTTATTTTTCCCTGCCCTGTGATGCACAGTACAAGTGACTTGCTGTGTCCAGCCCATGAAGGTGGTGGAGATGCTGGCCCAGAGAGGGATCCAGAAAGTAGATGAGATGGTAGGTTAGATGCAGAGGTTGTTGCAAGGAAGTGTAGGACTTTGCTGGGACAGCGATGCGTGTCTTGCTGCTGTTATTCTGTTTGTTTTCTTATCACGTTAATCTCCATGGGGTTAACACGGGCTACAAGCTCCTAGAAGTCTCTGTGACGAGTGTGCATGGCATCAATTCTTCCACATCGAGAGCGAGACAAATTGTGCTGCGCCGCATATTATGGTGTAGTACTACTAATTGCTTAACTTGATAAATGTCTTCTGGTAGGGTATATAGTTAACGAACAAAGATGTTAATTATCTGAAATAGCTGCATTTGCAGGGGCGTTCTCTGGAGCCATGGATGTCTTCTAAGAGAGATTTATTTCAAATCATCCTTTGTTTCCAGCAGTCTCGGAGCCCATTACCTCTCAGTGCACTGCCTGAACGCTCTCCTCCTCCAGCAGAGCTTTAAGAGCAAGCGGCTCTTCCTACATGTTCTTCAGCAAGAGGGACTCGTACGTGGGCATTGCTGAACTGGCCGTGGCACCGCGTGCTCGTGCCGGGGCTGCGCTGCGTCCTCTGCCCCGCGGAGCCGCCCAGGGAGCCGCGAGCGGCTGGAATAGCCTTCCCCACCCCCAGCCGGGAGATTTAATTGGGAAAATCATTCCTTATTGTTATGGCACTGCTGGGAGTTACGGCAGTCTGTCTAAATACATTATAATGCAGATTGCCCTTTATATTTGTAAAATTCATCTTTTCTAGATGCTTTCTTTGGAAAACACGTAGCTGAAAATGTAGTACATTATTGTATGAGTAAGTGCATACAAGCCTCACATTAACAAGGGACTTCATGTTTATTCTTCCCTTTAGAATTTCCCATGGAAACAAGTGGGCAGATTTTTTGCATTATTGAGCAGGCTGCTGCTGCTGACTTTTCCCAGAAATGTGAAGAGAAAACCAGTCTTATGCGTGAGCATAAATGTTCTTCTAGTTTTAGAGGCATTCTATCCCTCTAAAGTTAGATTTAGAGTAGCTTTGGTATGTGCCTATTCTGGAGAAAATAAAGTTGTGTCAAAGCTGTATGATTAATAGATCTTAATGGAGCTGAAAAAAAAGTTAAATTAAAATGAATTAAAACATGCCTGATTCTACAATGGAAAAGTTGTATGTTTAGTTAGGAGGTTAAAGGCTAAGGTGAAGAGAAGTTTCCTCAAGACTCTCTGTTTGTTGCAATAAATTTCATTTTAAAATCTCTTCCAGTTTCTGAAAAGATATTCAGCAGCAAATAGTCAGAAGTTACAACTGGAGCTGTAAAATTGCAACGTGACACACAGTTTCTTTGCCCAAATTTCCTTAGTTATGATTAATTTTGAAGAGTGAATAAGAGCAGTGCGTTATGCTGCTTCATTTGATAGATTTCAGACCTAGTCAAGTAATATAAATCTCCCTTCAAAAACAATAGCCATAATAATAATAATAATAATAATTTTATTAAATAAAGCAATTTGCAGCTGATGTATTACTGCTCAAAGATGCTGTGGTTTTTGATTATGAAATATCTTGTACTAACATTAGATTGAAGTATTCTGGTCCTCACTGCTCATTCCCTTCCCTGGGATATGCTGCCCCCTAAATCTTTCTGCAACCATGTTACAAATGAAACTAAAAAATAAGTTGACAGAGGCGAAAAAAAAAAAAATCTTTTTAGGGCTGCATCTGTTCCGGCCCTGCCTGATGCAGGCGTTGGCATCTGAATGCCAGGGTTAGGGGAAGGACAATTTTACGAGGACGAATCTGAATATCCTCAGTGTTGTTGTCTGTGTGGAGCCTCTTTTGGGGCATCTCACCGGCTTAAACGGTGACAGCTCGGAAGGAATGAAGACTTTGCTGTTCCTGAAGTGGATGCAGTAGCAGAGCCCCCGTGAGGTCTGGGAAGTCTCACGGCTCCAATGCAGGATTCCTTTAAAGCGTTTTTGCACAACCCTAATGTGGGAATGTGGTCTTTGGTGCTTAACAGCATCTAAAAGCACCATTTTGGGGAGCTTTACACAGTAATAAATCACTCCGAGTTAGCCTCTTTTGGCTGCAGAGTGGAGTGAAACTGTCTGTAATGTGTGTTTCAGACTCAAAAGCACCTGCTCTGAAAATACTTGGTTTTCTAGAACATGATGTTTTAAATGAAAGCAGAAGTAATACATATTGCTTGGCTTTTAGGGATTAAAATAGATTTGGGCTATTCTCTTTTGGGTAAGATTGAAGAGAATTGTGGTAAAGTTTTGTGCGAGGTGTGGCTGGATAGCTGCTATGGAGCTGGGATCGTCGGCGTGCTCTGTAAGTTGCCTTGTTGAAATACTGCTTTAATTTGGAGAAATTAACCAGCTGCATAGTTTAATGCTGCAATTTAGGTAGTCATCTCAGCTGCTCACAGGAAGGTGGCAGAACTCTGGTACCCTGTTCCCTCTAAAGAAACAGACTGTTGTGTGAGGACCAGTTTATGTGGAATTTAGTGCCTTTGAATAGGACTACAGAGCTGTGACTGAACTGCTTCACTTATCTTTAAGGCTGTTTAAATGGGCAGTTTAAGGTATGGAGGAGGCTTCCCTTGGGAACGGAATTGGTGAGAATTCTCCAAATGCTCTTTGAAGTTAATGGCGGGTGTTAAGGGCAGTCAGCATCTTGTTAAGAGAGAAATTTAAATTGCTTTGATTCATTTCATTTTATGCTCGCACCTGCGGGTCCTGGATTTCTCCCTTCTCCAGTCTCTCCGGAGCTTGTTTTTGATAAGTTTGCCCCCTGAGCATACTAGATTTCAGCCTGTCTGTTTTCATATTTTTTCCCCGCGTGTTGTAATGCTGATTACCAAGGGATCTTGGGCCTTTGGCTTCCTGTGAGAACAAGATAATTACTCTCCAGTAGGCAAAGCATGACGTACAGTATCAGCATTAAGCCACTGGGATTCCAGTCACTAGTGGAGAACAATATTGTGGGTAAATGAATAAGCAGAAGTTTATCAGACTTCCTGCCTAACGAGGGTTTTGTTAAAGAGACAGTGAAAATTTTCAGCGGGGCTGCTACAAATGAACACCCCCACAGCAAGCATTGCTTAAAAATATGTTAAGATTCCCCAGCTTCTTGCTGGAAAGACAACTGACTCTTCTGTGCAGCAAATTTGTGTTATAGGACCACAATAACGTTTTGGCAATGGCCGCTTATGGCCTCATGCACACAGAAAGTGTATTATTATTGAAGTGTCTGCTTTGCAGATGCAACACCTACTTAACTGAGGAGAGGCAGAGACGCTGCACACGCCGTCTGCTTGGTTCACACTCGCCCCCGGGAATCCTGTGTTGTGATTCTGGGAGCTGCCCCTGTTTGCCCCGAGGCAGAAGCAGTTTCTCCCTCGTCTTCCTCCTTGCGAGGCTGTCGGTTAAAAATAACTTCTGTACTGGGGACAGTGGGAGTAAGTCTGTGAAGTTTTAGATGCAAACCGTAATAGAAAATAATTCATAAATATACCGAGCGCTCTCCTCCTGCAAGAAATGGCCAGCGTGAGGGCTTATCCATGTAGGATTAATCAGCGTTTTTGAAGAAAAAGAGTTACTCTGCTATGAGGATGCTGATCGCTTTGCTTGTGTTATAACAAAGAGAAATAAATAATAAAGTCTTTGAGGAACCCTGCTAAGTATGGGGATTACTTAAACAGGGTGAAGTATGTGTGTGCCACAATCTGCAGATGCTTTCTCAGTAAATGCACAGCTGTATGGCTGTGTGTATTTGCTGGTGTCTAGAACATGATTTTATGTGTGCTTGCACGTAGGCGTGTGTATTTCAGGGATAACTGTACACAAACCTTTGCAATGCTTTGGGGATACTAGGAAGGAGTTTCACGTTTTCTTGCTACCATCAGTTTACGTGGTGCATGTCACCGCAATGGGCAGTTATTTATGTTTTAACTGTGGCTTTTACTGGAAACTGAGCATCAGCAGCTTCTGCAGGGAGCTGGTGCTTAAGTAGGAGCTGAGCTGAGCAGATTGGTTGCTCTGTTTTGATTTTGAGTCTGAAAGATGAAGGCTGAATTTTGGAGTCCCAAAACCCATGGTCAAATGTAGCAGTCTAGATCTGATGATGTGCTTGATCCACTTTGGAGGCAGGGAGAACAACAAGAAAGCATGGAATAAAACTGCCTTAATATACTACACGGGTCTTCCATTTGTGTGATGGAGAGGCTGCTTCCCACATGTGATGTGTGCACGGGCAGACACCTTCCTCTCTCACTTCAATTTGGGTTAAGATTCTACTGTGTTTTGGTCCAAAGCAACAGCAAAATCAGCCTGTGACATTTCAGTATTCCAGGCACTGGCATCTCGTTTAATCTTGCTTGCAGATGAGTGATTTTACACTTGAGAAAGTTGGAGAGAAGTGAGTGGATCAATCTGTTGACCATCCTATATAGAAATTTAACATTTTACAATTAGGGATTATGCAACTGGAAGTGAGTGGATCAATCTCTTTGTTGACCATCCTATATAGAAATTTTACATTTTACAATTAGGGATTATGCAACTATTTTCAACACCAAGAATAATTTTGATTTTATTGCTTTTCTTTGAAATTGTGAAGCTTCTGATGACCAAGTAAACACCTCTTTCCTCTCCTCTGTTTTCTTGCAGCCAACGGGGTACATGGAAAACTCCATTTCCTACAGTGCTATCGAAGATGTTCAACTGCTCTCCTGGGAGAACGCCCCTAAGTACTGTTTACAGCTCACAATCCCGGGGGGTACTGTCTTACTACAGGTACAGTAAACACAGAAGTACAGTCCTCTTTCTGTCTCCTGAATGAACATCTTGGAATTTGTGTTTGTGGTTCATCAAGTTTCAGTCCTAATTAATTGGACCTAGAAAAGGCAGATAATTTATTGGTGTCAAGTTGCCTCTCTGCTAGCAAATTTGCTCAGGGTGTCACTTTTGAAACTTTTTGTATTGTTTGATAGACAGAATGGGAATTTTGCACCACAGCAATTTCATCTTCGCGCTGATGATGTGATTCTGAATAGTGTTCTGTGAAACAGAGCATTGATTCAGGCCTAGAACAACTGAATTAATATAGTCCGATTCCCACATGAAGCAAGTCAAGAATCTTATGCTCTAACTCTTCCAGACAATCCGTAACTTGCAAGGGAATGGATGCGTATGTATATTTTTTAAAGATACTTGGTCTTCATTTCATTTGAGGCTGGATATGCATACAGATAGATAGGTAGACCTCTGCGTTCACTTCTGTAGCAATTGTTTTTGAATAGAAGGCATCAGATCTACATTAATCCAGATTTTCTGTGCACCTCTGAGACTTTGCAGGTCTGAGATAATTCCAAGTTTAGTGACAGAGGAGTGCTTTGACCACTGAACCTGCTTTATAGTAAGAAAAGGAGCTCAAAATTCATCTGTTTGGCTGTCCCCTAAAAGAATTTTGAATACTCATGACTTGGAAACGTGTGATTTCCTGGGCTCTTCTGGGGCAGAGGGTTTGGGTGCACTTTCAGCTGTCTCTGGAGCCACAAAGAGTTACTGGTTTGAGGCGTTTCCAGGGCTGTTGGGAGTCTGAATTTCAACCAGGCTGCTGCAAGGGCACCTGAGTCCCGGCTCCGTGGTGTGAAAATCCTCCCTGGTGTGTGGACTTGGGGGAAGCAGGAGGGAACTCGGGTTTCCCAACAGCCTGAATAGGGTCCGCAGTATTGTGAAATCTTCCTTGTCTCATCTGTTGATTGAATTAATACAAGAGAAACTCATTTGTTGAGTTGGACAACTTTGATTTTTTTTCTTGAGATGGTTTTGACCCTGTTTATTTCCTTACTTTTACTTAGTGGTACTAGCATTTACGTTTTTTTTTTTTTTTCCTCCCTTTCAACAGCCAGATAGTTGCATTTGCATTTCTAAATTAGGTGTCTGAGTCTTTTCCATAGTTTATGGGTAGCCACCTTTACCCAACCTGCTTAGCAATAAACAAAGTCTGAACCCATGGCTCCTTGCTGAGTTTAAAGGGAATTTGTTAGGACATACAGATTTTTAAATGGACCTATCTAAATGGACCCAGGCTGCCATTTGCTTTTTTTTTTTTTTCCTAAAGCTTTTTTTTTCCTTTTTTTTTCCTTTTTTTTCCTAAAAAAAAAAAAAAAAAGGAAAAAAAAGATTACATTTGCAAGGAATTGACATCTTAACATGGATGCTTTAGATTTTTTCTTTGAAAAATTGCCATTTTTGTGCAACCTCATGAAAACGATAAAGAAATGGAGTGAGCTAGGCTGCTGTTAAGTTTATATTTGACTGTAATTCAATGTAACTGAAAATATAAACTTTGAAAATGTTTTAGTATGAGTTGTTAATTGGTAGTATCTGGGTTCATTAAACCTGGCCATGTCAAAGGATGGATAGATAGATAGATTTCCAAAATATACTTGTAATGTGTGTTAATAAGACCAAAATGTTATTGAAAATTATGTAGGGATACACAAGAAATCAAGATACAAAAACTAGGTTTAGCTACTGTTTGAGTTCAGAAGAAATTCTTTGGTATATGTGACAAAGAATTAAGTATGCAAAAGTTATATTCACTGAGGCTCTGAGAAACAGATGCTGAGAAGTTCTGCCTTACATGCTTAAGCATTTTCTTATTTCCAGGAGTCTTCAACACATTTATGGGAAATTGGGGCATCAAATCTTTTACAAAATCCTTCAGACCTGATAGTCATAGCAGCAACATACTGCCCAGTAAAGCAACGTAGTGCCTTTGAAACAGGAAGCCTGTGATAGTGGAACAAGTGAGAAGAGTCCAAAACACATTCTCAATAGGACTGCTTCCAAAGAGCAGTTTTGATGATGATGATTGTCTATAGGAAAATGTTTAACCAAACTGTTTCACTTCTTTTTCTGATTTTGGATTTCTGATTAATTTCAATTTTATATCTGTGATATGTTTTTGCACAAACTTTATCATAAAGCCTCTAGCACCGTGTGATATTACTGACACGGTTTGGCATAAACTGAAGCATTTTGGTAGTTCTGAACCACAGCCTTTTCAGAATTCTCAATTTGCAGAAAAGTTTAAAATTTCAGTTGCTTCTGTTTCTCTAATTTGAAACAGAAACGAATTTCAGACTAATGGAACCTCCCTTAGAATGGAAATTCATTTCCAAGCAGTTCTTGTAACAGGATGTCAGCATGTGGTATTGGGATATCTTTCATGTATTTGTCTGGGTTAGGCATGATAAATGCCACAAGTCCCTGTTTGAGTTTCATCCCCTTGCCTGCTGTCACCAAGGTCTATTTCTGGGTTATTACTGCACAGTAATGAGTCAGAGAAGGAAGAGTGCCATTACCTTTCCGCACATCATCCTCATGTCCTCCCATAGCAATACTGACCCGTCCCAACCTATTTTAACACATGCAATTTGACAGATAGCGCCGGAGGTGATGCAGCATCTTGTAGGAAACCAGATCTGTGATCACAGGATGCATCTCCCGGCATGAGAGGCGGATTTGGTGCTCAGAGAACTTAATCTGGACAGGGATCACATTGAAAAGTCATCTTTGTGGGCGCTTCCCACTTGGTGTTTGTTGTACAAACCCAATGGCCTGAGCAGAGCTGGGTTTCAGAGCACACGGTTTGTTTCAGCAGTTGGAAATCCTCATCATCCCTTGGGGAATCATGGAAAGTCGGTTTTCTAGACGTGCTGGTGCAGTGCAGGGCTTTGTGTTTTCCCATTGCCAAATGATTAGATTCCAGGTTGTTCCAGTGAGGAGTGAACTCTATTTCCCCCCGCCTCCCCTTTCACACAACTAGGATAGCAGGTGTCAGCAAGGGTGTTGCTGGAAAAAAGTTCACGGGACACAAGCTCTTTAGGCCAGGAAATAGGAGCTAAATTTAGCTTATGAAAAAGTGCAAGCTCTTTAGCATTGGCAATAACTGGGCTTTTGTGGTGCACTTTGGTGTTGCTGCTTTCTGTTGACAAGCACTGGGCACATTTCTGGATGAGGAGGATGCTGCAGTTGATAACGTTGTTGATAATTTAGTTGATAACTAAGCGTGAATGACAAAATGGAAGAGGAGAATGGAATTTTGCAAACTGCTCAGCATGAAATGTGGAAAGAGTCCCAGGAAGAAGGCTTCAGTATCGCACTCAGGACAAACCTGCTGCATTCCCATGAGGTTTTCTTTCTTTCGGATGGGACCTAAGTGCCTTAAAGCCACCTCTCCCAACCCCAACACTAACATTGTTTTATTCATTTCTTGACATTCGGGTGTAGCCAGAAGGAAATACAAACAAAACAGAAAGCCTGGACAAACGACGCTCACATTTTCAGCTCCAGGCTTGAGCACGCTGTTTTGCCAGGGAGTCCCAACGGTAAATGTTTCCCTTGGATTTTTGTGGTAAATTTTTATTTTAGCCTACGGTGCAGGTAGCTTTCTCTTTGCAGAACCCAACTTTCATTTGCAAGTCCAGCTACTGCCTAGCACAAGAGTTCTTTGCTCTGTAGACAAGCCCATTCTTGCATTGCTCTTGAGTAGTGTGTACTTTTTAAAAGTATTCCTACTCGTTGGCTAAGAGTGAAGTAATAGGTTGCAGAGGAAGATACTGCCCTTTTTTGAGCAGCAGAGTAAATTTATTCGTATTGACCAAAGCTATGCAGACATTTACTCTCTTGCACATTTTTCCTGCTGTGAGCAGTTTGCTTGAAACTATTGGACCTAATCCCATGAATAAAGTTGGTGCCACATCAAGTCCCAAGTGGCCTTTTTAATGATAATACCACTATTATTAGAAAGTAAATGTAAAATTTGACAGTAAAAACTCAGGATCAGAAAAGAAAGACCATTTAAAGTAGGCACACTGTGGTATTCCTACTTGTTGGAACAATAAATAAATAAAAACGCTACAAGTATATATGAGTCTTTTAGGATTTCCAAGGGATTTCTTGCCACATTTTCCTGTTCTCTAAAGTACTTTTTTACTATGTGTTATGGTTGTGCAAAACCATTGGGAGGTTTAGATAGTGCAAAACGCTCCAAGCAGACCTTGGCATCGCCCTCGCTCCAGCTAAAGCCATTTTGATTGAATTTGTCAAAACGCTACCTACAAATGGACCCAAACTATATTTTATTTAGATACAAAATCTCTAATGTACTTCATTCATGTCTTAATGACTGCTTGGAACAGCAGGCAAAACGTTTGCAGACTAAGTCCTGGAAGAACTGCAGGAGTAGAGCAGGACCTGCTCTGCAGGCAAGACAGAGTGAAAAAAGGAAACCTTTTCCAGTGCAGCCAAGATCCTTAATCACTGTCTGCTAAAAGTCTTGTGTGTCTCATTCTCTCCTTTTATTGCACGCTGGAGCTGAATAAGTAAGGTGATACCCTCAGCTGGAGTGAAGAGATGTAGGCAGTGCACTGGAAGGGGCAGCTTTAGTGCAGATGTGCTCACCTTAGGTGAGTCCTAAGCCCACGAAACTCTGTATATGTGTGAAATTGGAACAAAATCAACCAGGAGTAAACCCTGAAATACAGGATTTTGCTTTAAGGATCAGGAGAAGGAAACACCTAATGATGGGTGATCTGTTCCATGTTTCAAGGCTTTTTCTTA